CCAACAAGATCAGTCTACACTCCAGCAGGCAGCACCAATTGGACTGGGTGGGATACAAAACAAAAAGGGGGACATGAAGGTGGAGGGGGGCATGTTGGGAGTATCAGGTAGGGTAAAAGGGGAGGGAGTTGCAGGTGACCAAGATACCTTATATACATGTATGAAACTGTCAAAGAATAAACAAAAGATATTCTTCAAAATGAAAAGAGCCAAGCAGGGTGTGCACAGCTTTAATCCCAGCACTCAGGAGGCAGAGGCAGGTGCATCTCTATGAGATTGAGGCCAGCCCAGTCTACATAGTGAATTCCTTGTCAGCTGGGGCTACAGGGAGACCCTGGCTCAAAAGAAAGAAACCTATGGGTAAGTATCTTAGTTCTTACTGTAGTTAGGAATAAACTACAGGGAGATGCTGATTTCTAGCCCAGAGAAAGCCTCATTTTGTCAGTGTGTTTGGAATTAGATTGACTCTGAAAGTTAACTTATAAGAGTTTGGTGTCTAGACCAAAACAAAACAAAGCAAAAGCAAACAAAACAAAGCAAAACCATTTTCTTAATTTACAATAGGGGAATATGCAGAGCAAGCAGCAAGAATGTTTCTGTTCCCCATCCAGGCTAAGGCATTCCAGGTAGGGTTATATTTGGAAAGCCACATCCACTACCTACCATACACTGAATCTGTCTGGGTGGGGTGCTGGGCTAGACATTTTCCATAAATGATCCGTGACTCCCCAGCTCAGGTAAGGATCATTCGAACCATTTAATGTGGCAAGAAAACTGAAAAGCAGAGAGATTTTGGAGCTAGGAAGTGACTAGGCTAGTGTCTGAATCCAGGTCTGTCTCATACAAAAGAGAATGTTTTTCCTTCACTCTGCTGCTTATGTGCCAGCTTAAGCTGCACGGGCTGAAGAGATGACTCCCTTGTTAAAGTGTTTGTACAGGGCTGGAGAGATGGCTCAGAGGTTAAGAACACTGACTATTCTTGCAGAAGACAGGGGCTCGAATCCCAGCACCCACATGGCAGCTACGAACCGTCCTTAACTCCAGTTCCAGGGGAATCTGAAGCCCTCTTCTGACTTCTGTGGCATTGCACAACACGGGTGCACTTACCTACATGCAGGCAATACACGCATAGACACAAAATAAAAATAATAAAATATTTTAAAAAGTGCTTGCACAAGGGGCTGGAGAGGTGGCTCAGCAGTTAAGAGCACTGGCTGCTCTTATAGGGGACCTGGGTTTGGTACCCAGCACCCATATGGTGGCTAACAGCTTTTTGTAATTCCAGTTCCAGGGGATCTGACACTCTCTTATGACCTCCATGGGCATTGCACACATGTGCTGTACTGACATACATGCAGGCAAAACAGTCATACACGTAAAATAAAAATAAATACATTAAAAAATTAAGTGCTCGTACAAGCATGAGGGAACATGTGTTCAGTCCCCCAGCATCCATGTGAAAAAGACTGGTAGTGGTGTCCTGTGCTTGTAAACTCAACCCTGAGGCAGCAGAGACAGGTGGAACCCTGGGGCTGCTGGTTAGTCCGCCTAGCTCAATTGGTGAGACCTAGACCAATGAGAGACCCTGCCTCAAAACAACAAAAATAAAGTGGACAGCTCCTAAGGACAACACCCAAGGCTGACCTCTGGCCTACACACACATACACCCCCCCACCCCCCCACACCCCTGTATACACATGAATACACACACATACACACCTGTATACACATGAATACACACACACAAATAATAATAAACTTTCAAGACATCCTTAGTGATTTATTTTTATTTTTATTTTATGTGTATGAGTGTATTGCCTGCATGTATGTAAGTGCACCTGTGTCATGCAATGCCTGCAGAGGTCAGAAGAGGTGGCAACTCCAGATCCCCTGGCACTGGGGTTATGGGTGGTTGTTAGCTACCTTATGGGTGCTGGGAATGGAACCCAGGTCCTCTGCAAGAGCAGCCAGTGTTCTTAACTGCTGAGCCATCTCACCAGCGTCCCTTTAGTGATATTTTTACTGACTATGCTCCTTGTACAAATTTGTTACCATGCTTACTGTAGTAGACACATTCTTATTCAAGGCTGACTTTCCCAGGCTGTATCCATCTCCTGGTATTCATGGTTGTGTCTCAGTCATTTTGCAAAATTAGGTATAGCATAGGCTCTGGTATCTGGTACATGCTTAAACAAGTAACCGAGTCAATGAAAATAAAAATCGAACTCCTCTTTTGGGCTCTTCTCTTCCACACCTAGCCCCCATGTCAATTTTGCCACATTAGCATCTTATTCTAGGGCCTTGGTTTCCAACTCTACTGCCAGACACAAGGAAAACATTTTCAACTGATTGAAAAACAGCATCTTTTATGTACTGGAAAGGTCTTCCAGGGCTGAATGTTGGCTTCAACCTAACCTAGGTCCATCCTGTGCCTTGTTTGCCTATTTTCTTCTGTGTCATCCTCAGGAGCTAATGATAAAGCTATTTCCTGGTCCCAGACTGTTATAAAAAAACAAGCCCTCAAGATTCCAGGGAAAGGGAAAGATGCCAATTTCAGGATGAAGTCATAATGTTGTGTTTAAAGAGACTTTGCTCATATCTCAATGGTGTTCCAAATTCTTTGCAATCAATGGTAGTCAAGCCAAGCCTAGGGGAACTAGTCACCTCCTCTGCCCCCAGCTCTGTGCAGGAAGTGGCTGGAAAATAGAAACTAGAAGAGGCTTGAAAGCTCTGGTTCCTTCACCAGTGACAAGATGATGCAGTGTTGGGGTATGACCAACTGAGGCAAATTAGCACGTGCTCCAGATGCAAGGCCCTGCTAGATAGAATACAGGGTACAGAGGGTGGGGCAAAGAGGAAGAGGAGGTACTCCCAGCAAGCCCCATTGGGACTCACTTCCCCTCATTTGAAAAGTAACTGAGCTGAATCCTCTCATGAAGTGCCCCAAGTAAAGATGAAGGTTTCTCTCCTCCCTTCCCTCAGGCAACATGCCAAGCCAAGTAAGCACTCAACATGAGAAAGTTATGCACAATTGATTTAAAAATTCCATGGAGCTTCTGCATTCAATTCCAAAGATTTTTCAGGCTGTTTTAATGTATATATATATTTTTTTCTCATATATTTGAGCAAAATTAACAACCCAGAAAGATGCCCCATATTTATCTTACCCTAGTAGGGTCTCAGTTGAAAGGTTTATTCTCCCACCCACTCTCTTTTTCTGTTATGTGTGTGTGTGTGTTTCTGTATGATGATGTCTGACAACTTTTTTTGCATCCAAAAATCATAGGGAATCAGAAGGAAGTGGTATCAGAAGCAGCAGAGGCAGCATACCTATTTGAAGGACATATAAATCCAATTTTGTTTCAAATTTCTAACCAAATAAAATAGTTTTGTGGATCAACTTCACCTGCTGTCAGTTCTTCTTTACATACCGTTATCTGTATGTTTAAAAAGCTCTCTAGGAGGTGTTGTGTTTTGTTTCTGTTTTAGGTTACTGGGAATTAAAACTAAGGCATATTCTCTACCACCGAGCTGCATCTTCAGCTCCAGAGGACTGTTAACAACAAGGCATCTGGAAACCTGGGAATATGGGAATTATAACTGCAGAACCTCGTACAAGAATGAGCCATTCAAGTGTGCATGGAGGTGGGGGAGATAAGTCCGGTGTCTTTACCACACAGGATAGTTCAGATGAAATGGTGGGTATTGCTTTGTGACATTCAGGATAGGAAGCTGCCTGGCCTCTATAGCTATAAATCTCTCCCTGCCTGATCCTCACCACAGGTGTGTGTGGGTTCTTAACTCTCTGCTGTCTTGGAGGAAGGTATAGCTGGCTCGGGAATAGATAGGCTTGACCTGTGGCCTGTTCTTCCCAGTAGCAAGGTTCCACAGAAGTTGTGTCTCTGCTGGTGCAGAGAAACAAGTCCCATCCAGGGTCTTTCTCTTCCTCTCCTTGCCCTAGGATTTCTATCAGAAAAGATATGACAATGGGACACATCCTAGTGAAACCTCCAAATAGGGGTCATGAAGTTGGGGCTATGGCTCAATGAAAAGCAATTGTCTGGCATGCATGATGAGACTCTGAGCTCCATTCCTAGCCTTGAAGGGGGTGGGGCATCCTTGCTGGGCCCAGAGGTCTCACCTGGTCCCGACCAGACACCAGGACCCTCTACGGGGTGTCCTTTCACAGGGACACTGCCCTCCCAAAGACTCCATCTCCCGAGGGTCTCCTGCTTTGCTTTTCTTCATCGAAGCAAACATGTGAACCAACCAGTCTGTGCTTTGGGGATCTTCATGTGGCAAAGTGATATGATGTTATGTTTAAGGCCCTCAATGAAGGCTTTTAGGGAATCAGATCCAACTCATGTCCCTGGTTTCTGGACCACATTTAGGGGCCTGGGATAGAATTCAAAGCTAAATGTGAACTTCAAAGCTAAATGTGGAAGAGTGGCAGGGGTTTGAACATACTGGCATTTCAATAGCTCCCTTTATTCACTCAATAAATATTCGAATGTTCAGTGTGTACAGGGAGCAACTCTAGAACCCTGATTTGAAATTTAGGGAACTCCAGGATCATTGGGGGATTGCTGAAACTGGAATTCGATCCCAGTTCAGGAGGTCTGCATGGGCCCTAGAACTTGCATTTAGAACAGCTCTAAGGCTGCTTGGGGGAGCTAGGCTTTGAGATCAACTGGGCTAGGACACGGGGGCACCCAGCCCTGACCTCCTAAGATGCACAGTAACCCTAGGTAGTTTTGCCAAAGGGACTCAACGGTGGAGATTTTTTTTTTTCTCTCTCACCTTGGCAGGTCAATCGGGGAGACACGCAGGGACGCTGCTAACTTCTGCCGGCTGCCCCTCGTCCCAGAAGCCAGCCGAGCTGCGACAGGGAGGCGGCAGGAGGAGGTCTGGCACCTCCCCTCGGGCTGGGGCCCCTCCAGAGGGGGACAGAGGGAAGGACCCAGGGGTCCGGGGATCATCCCTGTGCCCAGCGGCGCGGAGTGGAGGAGTCGCCCGGGCGCGGCCCCGCCTGCACCGGCTGGCGCTCAGGGCGGTGCCCACGGCGCTGCGCGGGGCGGATCATCGCGACCCCCGGTCCCTCCCCGGGGCCGAGTCGCCGCGCTCGCGCCGCCTC